TTCCACGAATTTGCGCGCAAATTTATGCGCCCGAACGATGGAAACAGCGTTCAAAAGAGCACCATGTCTACCTCTCCTACGCCCACCGTAAATCTCGCCGACTTGCGCGTTTCTTCACGAAAAAGAGGAAAGCCACTTTGAACGCAAATTTCTTGGTTGGAATTTCTTATTTTGCAATATGCGGTTTTATTATCCGTGAATACAAGATTTGCGACTTGAAAAACGTTTAGCAAAGTTACATTCATTAAGGCACACTGTTTTGGATATCGATACGCAAGCGCCGTTGTCGAGAAAACGAAATTTTCCCGAAAATGTGAATATTTTTAGCAAATTTTGCTGGATTAAGTTTTTATTAGCTTCTCGAAGATCTCGTTTTGCACCTCTCGCGCCGCTTCACAAGCAGAAAGCCTTGTACATGTATATGCAGAAATTTTACTTCCCAGTTCCCGAACTCTCTTTTTTCTCTACGTCGTCGAAAACTTCTCGACGAGAAAATGACGCGTTTTCCGCCGCGGCTAAGGCCGTTCGCGAGCAGCAGGCCGCGCTCGGATGCGAATTTTTCGCCTGAATTCGAGAGTTCGTCGACGAACGGCGTTTAACGATCCGGAAACGTTGTAAGTGTGGGGATTAAAGCGTGTATTCGTACACGTAGCCGTGTGAACCTGTGCAGCAGCACTTTCCGTCCTCTTCTACTCATTCACACCCTCTTCAGAATGACACGTTGGGAACGGAGCCAAGCCGATTCTAGAATGTGCTATAGGAATTCTCCAAAATGGGAATACTTCTGCCGGCTTTTAATTTAAGTTTGAATTTCAAGGAAAATAATTATCTAGCCTAGTAGCGCGAAACACAGGCAGCTTTTTGAGAATCAATTAAAGTGCACGCGCATTTTCAGCGTATTAAAATGAAAGCTACGAATCGTGTGGAAACGAACGGAAGTCACTATGTAATATAGAAAATCCCGCCCCGGATTAATGTTGAAATTGTTACATTCGATATGAGCTTAATGAAAGTGCTGAGCTTAGAAAAATCCGCTGTTACAAGTTTACGCTCTGCACATACACCGAGCGTAATCGGAGCGGCATGATTGATTCACTGATTCGCTGAACAAATTCATGTGCATCCACTCGTAAAATACACTCGCGAGCCGTGCAGGGCAGGTGTAGCTTTATCTAGACCCCCATCATTCACGTTAATTCCACTTAAGCACCGATGCACCTGGCTCGCGAGCTCAACGTGACGAGCGCGCAATGCACTCGGCAAAAATGAAGAGACGAATGCCGTGTAAATCGAGCATTCGGTGCGCGCACAAGGGCACCTTATGCAGCGGCGCACAGTGGAACCGAGTGGCCGAACGCGACGGTTCGAGCGAATGAAAGATAGCAGTGTGCGCATTGTAGAAAGCTGGAACAAACGGGACAGTAAATTCATATGATTTCTTCGTCCTCAAGCGGGGCCTGGCTTACTTGGCCGTTACACCGGCGCCGGTCTGTTTGTATTGGCATAACTGCTAAAGATAATCTATAGAGAATTTAATTCGCGAAAGGAATTGTAGTCGTTTATCGTGCACGTTAAATCCGTGTTCTTCTTCAAAATGATAATTGTTTAAAAAATTTGACGGCTGGGAGAGCTCAAAAGAATATTAATAAACGCGCAACATTCGCCTCGGGCAAAAAATGTATATCAATTCAGATAATGTGAACATAATCAACTCTGTATAATTACGAGGAAATAATTAGCCCCCTCTGAAGTATGCCCGCGGGATATAAAGAACTCGGCATTCTCATCCAAGTAAGATTGTGCGAAACACGGGTCGATGGTGCAATTAGCTCACAGGAGTGCGCGAACGGCTCATTTTCCGTATAATTTTTATCGTCAATACATTACGCTTAGTGTGCTTAATGTAATCTGAAATGAGAAATACATTTGAAATGTTATCCGAACTGACGCGGTCGCTGCAGGGAACGTATCTCGCGACGGCGATAGCATGAATGCTGCATTAGAGCGCGCGTGCATGTACGAGATTATCCTTCGGGCCTAATGATTAATTGTACGTCACGATTGATCTAATCATCAGTTCAGAAACGAATGCCGTACCGCGGATCACAATCGATCGAGCGAGCCGGGCGGTTAGAGGTTGCCTGCACTCTATGACCTTAATTACTATGTCGACTAATCGATCGCGCGCATTGTGATCCTACTATGCTCGACACGGGTACCGGCATACGCAACCATTTCACGCTGAATGGTGTCTTAATTGTCGGTCGGATAATCCGATTCCAGCCACTTAATCGATTATGCTCGTCCATGGAGCCGTCGCAATCGTATTTGCGAATTCTCCAATTGCGGATTGGCTATTTATCGACAGCAATACACGGATCTCTATTCAGATGATTAGACACAAATTAGATACAGGATACTGCAGCTTTTTTTCTCCTCGAACAAGATAATTATAATAAGATTCGTGGGAAAGCAAAACATAACGCCAACACAAACCATAAAATTGGGTTTTCGTTTTAGCGCGAGACTCATTAAACGAATCAACCTTTCTTGAAAGCCATTAACGTGAAGAAATCAGATCTCGAATTAAAGAAATGTATCTATTTGTCACCGATTACGAGCGTTCCGCTGGATCGCGGCCGCGATAAATTTCCGAAATCCTCGCGATCGTAGCGCGATATAAAACGCCGGCAGCCGCGTCTGTCGTCACAGATATTTTCGGTCGTGAAATAACGAGTTGCAGCGAAGGGGTTTTCTAAACCTGGCAGATAAGCATCGGGGAACGGTCGAAGCGGTGTAGTCGAAGAAACCCCCCAGTTAATTAGCCAAAAAGTGAGGCGTCTCGTACGGTCCCCTTTTCTTTTCTACGCGCCACGACGGCACCGCCGTGAATAAAGTACAGTCCCACGATCGTCCCCCGCGAACCCCCCCTCCCGTACGCCCGGACTATCTTCTGGTACTCTCGCCCCCTCGCATACAAGAGAAGAACCAGCCAAAGAGCCCCACGGCGCTCGCCGTGCTTCTTCTTTCGCTCGCAGCATCCTCGGCGGGGCCTCTCTTTTTCCGTCTCCTTTCCGCGCGCCGAACGGCCGATCCTAATCTCGATAATGACGCGTAATGGCTGCTGGCGTGAATGTAGCTCTTTGTCCGTGGCTCCTGTACCGGTCGTATATCTGTCCGATTCGAGAACCGCGCCATTTCACCCCGGCGAAAAGCACGGGGAGGCCGAAACGGCCGTTTCCAGGCTCTTTTTCTACGTCCAACGTCGCGTCCCCCTCGCAACCCCCCTTCGCCCTTGTCTCCTTCCAGCTTTCTCTCTCCTGTGCCAATCTCTATGCCTGGCAAGACGCCTTCCCGGGAATTACGCTTAATCACTCTTCTGTATAACGTCGGGATCAGTGAGCTGTGTGTGATCTTTTTTTTCGGGACTTTATTTTTGCAGGAGCGGTTATGAGAGTTCGATGACCACGAGCCCGCGGACCATCGACGCTACCATGGACTACCTGCAGACGTGCCTCATCTTTTACCTGCTAATCCTCTGCTTCTGCGGCGGACGTTCCATAGACATATGTGAGTAGACATGTCAATCTAACCAATGGGTCTGTCTCGGTGGGATAGCTTTGGGCTTCGAGCTCGTGGATTTCTCAATCGCCGTTGATGACAGCTTAAATATTAATGACCGGCTCAGTGATCATCAATTATTGCCCAATATTCTTGATATATATGCAAACTGCCTGAAGATACATTTTCTGTTAATTAATTATTTCCAATCATATGAAAAAATATTCCAATCAACCGGCTTATTTTGCATATGTAAATTTTCTTCCGCGTAAAAAATGTTACGTGAATTTTCTCAGAAAATTGCGATATTAAGACACATTCCGCATTTTAAATTACAAGTGATGAAATATAATCGCCTAAGAATCAGATTTATGGGTTGAGATAGCAGTGCATCGTTGGCGATGCGTGATATTTATCGGTCAGTAGCCTCGAGTCGAATCTTTTTTCGAGGAAAATCAGGAGACCGCGGCGGTTGAGCGCGGTAGAAATATGTGTTTACATCCGAGTCCATAATTTTACCCCAAGGTGGGCGCCGCTTCTCCTAGTTTCACCCGATAAAAACAGAAAGGCATCCCGATGCCCTCCCTCGTACCGCATTGCCCTTTGCCTTACATTAAACCTCGGGCACGGTTTCTACTCGGCTTGGTTTCCATCCCATTGACTCCAGCGGCTCGAGCCACCCTCGTGTCAGGTAAACAGGGCGAGAAACTTGCAAAGTATCCGCCAAGAGTTCCGAAGTCAGCCCCGGGAAAGGCTTTTAGGTACTCGTTCGTGAAATCGAGCTCGAAACTTACGTATACGGGACGTATTTCGCACCCGAAGAATTTCTCGAGCAGGACCGAAAGATGGATCGTGATGGTCTCTCGATTCGGTTACACTGCAGCGCGTACCATCATCCTTTTTCCTGGATGAGTAAGTAGATACGAGCTATTATATATATAGAGTGTGTATACGAACGCGTTGAAGTTTCTAAGATGGAGACCTCGCGTGCGCAGAACAAACCTTCCTTACATTGATATTACGTAATTGGAACTTGCGGAGAAGTTAAGACTGGAACTCATAAAAATTCCGCCGTGCAATGAATGTTAAACGAGAGTTACGGGCGGCACGACGAGTCCTTGACAAGTTTATCGTCGACAGAACTATAAACTCTCTAAGTGCATGGTAATCGGCTTATACTTTTGCGATAAATATATCCAACTGCCACTACGGAAACATACTGAATCGAGAAAGGCGACGTTACCATCTAACTGTTGGTACCCGCGTGGTGTACTATTTAACCGCAAAGCCGATACTTGGGCCACCTTTGATCCTGCTTATACTTATACTTGAACGTGTCCGGAGAAGGAAGAAGGGGAAGGTGTAATCCCTGAAAACAACTATACAGCGCAAACTTTCCTAATTAAATTCCATCTGCTTATCAAAGCAGCTCAGCATAATACTTTGAGATAACAAGCGCAACAACACTGATCAAGGCGGTATGATTAAGTACGAGGAAAAAATGCAACTTGCAGTTCAGGCAGTTGGATTCATACAGCCGTTTATCAAGTAATGTGTTAAGCCATAATAAAATCATCAGACCGAATCGTCGCGGCGATAATATCAATCGTTCCGTCCGAGCAACTTTTCAGTCGCGCGTAAAAGTGAGCAGCGGGATACGGTTCGTTTCGGATTTGCTCGACCATACTTAGGAGCCAGTTGAAGATAAAACGTGCGAGGCGTTCGTAGGCGTAGGTGGACCGGCGTGCTCCGCATAAGACAAGTATACCGAGCGAGCAGCGCCGAAATATATAAATAGCACTGCACGAAAGTCGGGAAGGAGGCCGAAGGGGAGACGATCGAGTTCCGCTCCCCCGCGGTGACCGAACTTGTACATTGAACCGCATTGGTGAATTCGCGGTCGTGTTAAGCGAGCCGGTCAGCCGTTGCCGGGCCGAAGGACGGTTGCGGGGGAGCACTGGAAGGGGTCGCTGAGCAGTTAAAGCGCGCATAAATTGCAATGTTAATGTTGCCGGCGATACATAAACATGTTGCACGTCGGTCGGATTGCGGTGTCTGCGCGTGCTGCGCACCCTCTAGATGCCCGGTTCATCTGCGTGCATGCCTACGTGCATGCGTGCGTGCGCGCGCGCATACGTGCGTGCGTGCATGCGGACGAACGCGCTTGGTTTCCGTGTGAGGACGATCGGCACTGCGCCGGGGGTGCGTGTAGACGCGTGCCTAGACGGGAGAAGCCATTGCGCGTGTATTAACACGCGCCCACGCATTCGCGTCGGTGTTGCGTAATTGCGAGACAACGTGAGAGTGTGTGCGCGCACGAGCGCGACGAGTATGCTGGCGTCGGTGCGATAGGATAGGTAATTGTACAGATGCGTCATCCGGGAGAGACGTGTGTGTCTGACGTAGCGAAATTTAACGCACGTGACACATGTGACGGACGATCACTTTTTTGCATCTCTGCGCGAGGCGCGTTATTAGCGGCTACTACGATAGCGTAGCTAATGATGAAGCGGAGGGCTTGGACGTGGCCATATGTTTGCATCTCTAAATAAATAACGAGAATATTAATTAGGTGTGATTATGCGAATGCATTATATTATTTTTATTTTCATAGTTTTATACAATGCAAATTAAGAATTTGATATAGTGATAAATTCAAGATTTTAATAATTATAAATTAATGTATGTAGATGCGTGATAAAACAAACGCGTTTCTAATGATAATGCGAAAGCACGCCTGTGTGTGCGTGTGCGTGTGTTCGTCGCATCGAGAATACATCGAAGGTAGAAATGTGTCCCGGGGAGGAGAAGCGTCACGCAATGGAGTTCGCACGCGTTATGACATTGTCAACCCTCCGTTACCCTCTCGGTCCTCAACCCTCCTTTCCAATTATCTACAGATCCATTAGGCCCTAGCGTGATGGTGACGAAATTATTACAGGAGTCTTCAACATATTAACATAACAATGCGGCAATTAACACGTTATTACCCTTCGTCCACGGTCTATCGCCAATCTATGCAACAACACGAAGCGTAATAAGAATGTCGCGAATTAGAAAAATCAGTCTCCGAATAAAAATGATATAAAATTCCGGTTGTTTTCAATTTCTATAAAAGTAGTATAAGAAATATAAATTAAAAAACACTAAAAAAATATTATTTATAAATTAATTTAATTAAAGGTATCATTGCGTTATCATTTTTTTGAAAATAAAATTAAGTATCGCAAGCTTATGCTTAAAAAATCTCGAGATTGAACTTGATTCGCGTATCTTTCATCCGGAGAACATAATTGAAACAAATGTCCTGCACATCACGTCCTGCGCGGATTAGCGGATTATTTGTGCAGTCACCTATGCGAGCGGACAAATATACTTTCATGGTCGTCGTCCCTTCGCAGATATACTTATCAAAACATAACCCCGGTTATCATTACAACTTGTCATTCCTTTGTGCGCGCTCGGTGCAGCCGTTAATACCGGTTGACAGCTTCTGCGGGGCATGTTTGAAAGGCGCGATTATTCGTATGAACAAAGACACCGCCGACACTTTCTGCACGTGTACGTCGTATGTCTCACGGATATAAAATACTCGCGACGTAAACATTCCCAAGCTGGTACACCGACATCTGTTTCTTACCCTCGCGCCGACTCCGATCTCGTCGCTCGGCTTGATCGCGCGCCAGAACCGACAGTTTACGCTCGCCCGCGTACACGAGCTTCAGATCTCTCTTCGCCCTCTAATGACTCTGGATAAATCGCCTCGAGTGCAATTGACTTAACCCCGACGTCTCGCCGATGGCGTAGCCTTCGGATACGTCGCGGCGAACGTGGATGAATCGGGAGAATCAAGTGGGATCGACACGTTGAAAGGGCGTCAGTTCGGGAGACGTCGAGCGAAATAATCCACGGCTTTCCGCGCCGCCGCCGCCGCCGCCGCCGTCGCGATCGCGGATCTCTATTTTTCGATGATATATCGCATCGCGATCGCTTTGCTTCGACATACACGTGAGCGAAAGCAATTATCGCGAGTCACTGCCGCGTCGCGATAAACTTCTCCGTATCTCATTGCGATCGATCTGAGCGGCGATGAAACCGACGTGCCTCGCGGAATGTATCGAACAACGAGGACGAATCCGAGGGAGAATCTGAGGCATGTCTCGCGCTTGACGTGCTGAAAGGACGTCAACTGTCAGACGTCGACGGCGACGTCGAGTGTAATAATTCCCGACTTTCGGGTTCGTAGGGGCGCCCGCCGTGCAGATCCGTATTTTCATAAGGTCAACCCACGAAAGCAAACACGGCGTGTACGGTATACGAGCACGAAGGGTTCGTGCCCTAAAACCCCTTCGCGCAACTGACATCGGCTGAGACGAAAAAATTAGACGATACGGGCGGTGGACTCGAGAAAGTTTCTTTATCGATCTTTATTTTCTTAACTGATGCGCTTCAAACTTTCTTTCTCTCATTTTCACTTATATGAAGAGGAATTAAAAACTCTTGAATTTTTAACGACTATTTCACGAGTAGGGAGTGTAACATTATATAATTATTATTTTCCATATTTTTTTATTAAATGAAAAAATTCGAAAGAAGGCACAATACTCTTTCACGATTTATTAGTTTCCAAAGACAGAGTTATTAGTAGATATTTCTACGCAGAAACGTCGATATACAGCGTCTGCTTTTCCTCGTGTCTATTAATGTCAGCCGCGTCAGCGAATAAAACTGGTTAGTTTTGATAAATCCAGGCCACGAAGGCACGAATCCCGTATAAAGGGGTTGCACTCCCGACCCTCCGGGGTCTAAGTAACGCACGCAACTCGAGACGGTGATTTCCAGTCCACGCTGGGTAACGCCTAAGGGGGTTGAAGGGTGGAACGGCCGCGTTGTAGAGAAGGATGCACGAACAGTAGGATGGAAGGAGTGAGAAAGGGACCTTGGGGAAGTAGGAGAGACGAAAGGGCCGTGTAAAAGTAGTACTTCCGTTCTGCCAGCCGTCGCGGCGCCAGACGGACGGGCATGCGCGTTTTCGCCGAGGCGAGTTACCTTCCACCTAGAACGAAATGTTTGTTTTCCCTGAAAGAGGCGAAAATGGCTCCCCAGGCCCGACAATACTCGAGGAAACCGCGCCTCGGTCTTCATAGCTCTGCGAAAGGGCGCAGCACGCTGCAGAGGGTAAGCACGAACTTCTTTTAGGGGTCGACGCTCTTACAAACATTCATTCTAATTTCACCGCTGCTCGGAAAACGGGCGCGGCATTGCAGTCGTGAGGGGAAAATCTTGCAGCAGGTGTCCACCTGCTAATTCCGTGAAGCAAACATAACGAACTGTGAGTGCCGTCGCAGTCAGCCGCGCTGAGAAGGCAATTATCATCAACGCACACAGACAAGTAAATAATTTCAAGTCACATTTCGCATGGAACTTAGTCTGAATTAAATCTTGATATTGGGCGCAAAATACACAGGATTCATAATAATATGTCGAATGTGTGTTACAAGAGGCGGCTCGTACATTATGATTAGCCAAGGCGCTTCGACATGAAAAAAAATTAAGTTAATCCTATGATTAGGCGCGAGTCATGATTTATGCGCTAATATCGTAGTGCAATGAGACGGGGAAGTTTAATATGTTTTTCGTGAAAGTCCCGGTGAGTAATTAATTTACATTCGCGCCCGAGGAGAGAAGTGTGCGAGCGAGCGTACCAAAAGCCGACCGCGACTCTCGTGCGCCGTCATTAATAATAATCCCGGAATTAACAAAGGAAGGGCGATGCGAATTATTAAATTCACCGAGATAGAAAAGCCCGTTGTTGGTATCCACCCTCACCACGTTTCTTCTATTTTTCTTCCCTAATTTGCCGAGAGATTCGTTAGTCTTCTATGCAATTTGCTTTACCATTATTATAAAAGCCACGCTAATTACTCGCGCGTTCCTTCAAAAACAGCCGCTATTTTTGACTTCAGCCGGAATGTGAGAACAGCGCGAAATTAGGTGGGACGTGATGTGTATAAATCCGCAACGATGTACGCGCACGGCAGTAAATTATATACTTTAATGCATTTTTTATAAAGGATTATAGAGAGAGAGAGAAAAGTGCTAAGGTTTCCACGTAACGCCAAGTTGTATCGCTAAGGTATATATTAAATTATTAAAGTCAGCCTCACCTAGTAGATAAAGACGTGACTTATGCCGTGTTAAAGGTTAATTCAGAACCATTCTCAGTTGCCTGAAGAAGGAGTGGTTCGCTACTCGAGTGCGACGTGAATGCTTCGCGGGAGAGGACAAACGACGGCGGAGTAGGAGATCTACGTGCTTGTAAAGAGAAGATTTACGATATTGCGCAATTCGTGGATCTCTAACGAATCGCGCAGCCTTCATCGCCGCCTCAACTTGTAGCGTTGTGAGTCCGTCCGATTCAACGCCGAGACATTTCAATTACCATTTCGGTATTTCGAGATCCGCGTGAAATCATTTGTCAACGCGACATGTACGTCGGATAAATATAGGAGAACGTACGAAATGGAGGCGGGCGACGAACGGTATATACACGTTCGCCGAGTTCTTGGACTATCAAGTAACAGCGAGTACGAAAACCAAGCCGGCACTGGATGCACGGCGGAAGAATTTCTCTTGGAATTTATTACGATTTTTCTATTACAATCTACGTCGCCTCGAACGTATTGCGCTCTCTCCTCCAGACGCTGCTTGCTCGTCGACCGTTTCGTGGTTGTCTCGGGTTTCGTGGAGAAGCCGTCTTCTCCGAGGAAAGAAGCGGTTATCAGTTTGACAGTGACGCGGTTAGAACAGGAGAGCGCGAGGCGAGGACGAGCGAGAAGACGAGAGAGAAAGCGCGACGCGGGACGCCGGGGAGGGGTTACGAAGGCATTCAATTTCCCTCTTCTCGCGGATGGAGGGCGGCACACACCCTTCCGTTCGGAGCTGTCACTCCCCGAGAGTTATGGTCGCCGAATGAGTGGCTGGGGCGGGCCAAACGTCGCATAACTTACTTCTTCTTCTTCTTCGCTCGTTCCTGCGCTCTTTTCCAGGATGTCTATAAATACGAGAATCGAACCTGCCTGCCTACCTCCTCAGCTACTTGCAGGCGACGGCGGGGGCCTCTCGTTACCCGCGCGCTGGATGCTGTTCGCCGCGCGCGTCGCATCGGGCACGTAGCCGGAAGGAGCGCGGCGCGAGCACGATCGATCTCCGAGCATCTTCAGATCGCGCAGCTGGGTACCACTGATTATGAGACTTATTTGTCTCAATGCGTTTTTTGCCCCTTTAACTCGAGGCGCTCGGTTCTCGAGTATTTTTAGCTAACACAGAGTTGGCGATGATTACCAGAAATTCCTCTGCGTAATTGCTTCCTCGTCTACCGACGCGGTGAAAGTAAACTAAAACGAAAGGGGAAATGTAGAAATATTATTCTCATTTTTTTTTAAGTATCGTATTCTAAATTCTTTGTCCATCTGAAAAATGCATAATTAAATTTTCCGTTTATTTTTATTCTTACATATGCATTTAGATTTTGAAATGTAATTTATATTGTTCTCTAAAATTTCTGTCGACAAGAAAATATTCCAAGTACATTTGTTGTTTATCGATATACTCTGATAAAATTCTAGATTCGTGACAGATTTTTTAAATAATGGGTTCTGTGATCAGTATAATTTTTTTATATTCTTATCTCAACATAGTATATGTGAAATTTTATTGTAAAAAGGCTCGTTGAAATGCAATTTTTTTGACAAATAGACTTGTTTGTTGTGTCGAGACTCGCTGTCTCGACTTAATAAAATACGATATAAGTTGTGAAAGACTACTTTGCTAAATTTATTTTGTGATAAATTTTGAAACTTCTCTTTATCTCGTTCAAACTCGAAGTCTTCGGTGATATTTGAAAGAAGTAGAAAATGTTTACAATCCTCTTATTTACGCCAGACATCTTTTCGGTGCCAGACATCCGCGACGATGAAGAAAGAAGCGGTTGGCACAAAAGTTTGTGGATTTAAGATCGTTGGACGAATAAACGAGCTCGATAATCGCTGACGATTCCGACGATAGCTCAGGAAGCAGCTGTCGTTAGGGCCATTCGAGGTTGAATTTCCTACTCGGATTTATCGAGTTTACCGAAGCGCCGCTCTACCTTGCCGCGATTTCTTGCTAAAGAGCTGTGTATCATTCGCTCGTTTCCCGGAAACTCTGGCACGATCTTCTACCGCGCTAACAGATCTGCTTTGACCGCTCCTCAAGCTACAACGGTCGTTTTCGTTTGCGAGTACCGCTTTGATCGTCGATGAGCCAGTGGTGCGGGCATATAATTTTAAGTCGTCCACAGTACTTATCTTTCTTCGATTTCAAATGGAAATCCGTTCTTGGTATTGCATCAAGCGTTATAATTATCGCGAACGCGATGCGTCGAACGATAAAAACGGCACTCCGGAGCGGCGCTTGTTCCGCCTTTTTCATCGTTTTCGATCGCTGTACGCGGCTTACCTCGTATTGCCCTTGAGAAAAGTAGCCCGGCGGCATGCGTTAATGAAACTCTGATAAATTCATGTTTAATTCTCGCTAACTATAACAGCGCGAATCCGCGGCACGGTTCTCGAGATAATCTGACTTAATTAAAACAACTTTTAATGACGACAAAAGCATGGTATTGATTGAACGAACGATGCATCAATTTTATTGCGTGACTTCTGTGACTGTATTTCTACACAAATAGCTATTAACGAAAGCAATTAATCATGAAAGAAAATAACAATTAAATTAAGAATTTATGATGGACTTTTCTATTATTCAATAATCAATTACATTAATAAACAAGCTAATAGAGCTAGAGCTGGATTTTTTACGTGCTCAATTATTTATTCAAATTGAAAGTACAGACATTTCGGCTATTGCTTTTGACCTTCCTTAGTGTACGGTAATTTAATAATAAGGACTTGATGACGCAAATGTATGAGAACACATCCAAATGTTAAACATTAGTACGTCTAGTCTTTGTACGCCGAAAACATAATCAAACGATAGAGAAGGACGAAACGGTCTTCTATATGATGTCACTTTACATTCCCGAAATTCATTTGTGAGTAATGTCTTTGTGAAATTTTAATGCGTACACTAAGAAGTTACTCACAAATGAATTTCGGGAATGTGAAGTGACATCATATAGAAGACAGTTTCGTCCTTCCCTACCGTTTGATTATGTTTTCGGCGTACAAAAACTAAGACGTACATACTAATGTTTAACATTTGAAGGTGTTCTCACACATTTGCATTATTAAATTACCGTACACTGAGAAAGGCCAAAAACAATGGCCGAAACATCACTTTTAATTTGAATAAATAACTGAGCACGTAAAAAATCCAGCTCTGACTCTATTAACGTAAAAAAAAAGTTGTCAAAATTTATTCAAAAATTATTAGAGAGATTGTTAAGATTTTACAAAGCATATTAGTGTTATGTTAATTTTAGCACATCGTCTTAAATAATGTTTGCGCGCAAGGTTCATATCGCTCATCTGTTCTCACTCGAGGCAAACATATAATTGAAGCAATTTCCTTTATTTTCAGCACAATGCACTGCACCCCTGGGGATGGAATCAGGCGCGATTCCCGATGCGGACATCACTGCGAGCTCCAGCTTTGATAGCGGAAACGTCGGGCCGCATCGCGCACGGTGAGTGAATTACTGATTCGTTTATGCAACGCATCACACGCAAATCCGATGCAATACGAATCCGGAAATTTGATCATATCATATTAGCTCCGCTGCGGACCGTGAAAAATGCGAGCGGCGTGCGCTCGCATCGCGAGACGCATATCGACAGCATAATGCGGCCGATATTCAAATTAACTCGACCACTCACCGGCGCTATACTTGTCGAGTGCTTGTCCGTTAACTGAAAGCCTGCCCGCGAAATTCTCGATCTGCACGCTCGTAACCGGCTCTCGATGAGGCTATTTAAGACATCGGCGCGCGCGATCGGAGCGGCGTCGAACCGGCGCAGCGACGTCATCGTCTCCGTGGCACGCGATAGATCATTTCCAAGTTCAGCGATTCGACGGGCCGCACGGACGACACGTCCGTCATCCTGTCCGTCCACGAGATAGTTGACGATCGGCCGGTCGACCGGTCTCACCGTATATTAATCACGCCCTACTAAACCGCAACGTCTAATTCGGCCTTCAACCCACAATGAGGATTAATGACGCGCAGCGTCCCGCATGCGGAGCCATTTGTATCGGCCGTTCCGAAGCTCTTAGACGTCGTTAACGTGCCCGTCGCATACTCCTTTGATTATGCGTGTCAGCTAATTACCATTCCGGCGAGACAAACGCGTGACGCAGAGGACGACCGGGGAGTACAACACGGCGCGAGGGACGGATGTCCAAACACAAGGAATCATCGGGACCACCTACCGCGTTAATAAACTCGCACTCGCAAGACATTAACTTCACCGGTGCCCTTTCGCTTGTAATTGAAATTCTGCCGCATTAACCGAGTCGTGCGTGAATTTTCAATATTCCGCGGAATGTAATCAACTCGTCACTATTAATCAATCATCGAGGCGTGAATATAAAGCAAATTAATGCGTAAAATTAATCGCGGTATATCGAAGCGCAGGTAAACGGTCGATAGATAAAACAGAGACGCGCAAAAGTCAGTTTTGCGCAATCGATCACGCGAAAGCGAGAGTCCCTTCAGTGCAATACCACCGATATCGCTATTCAGACCACATCGTCGACTTAAAACTTCTTTGACGGCATTTTCAGGGCTTCGTGATACTACGGGCTTCCCAGCGAATACCCTATTTGCCTATCCGCTTACTCTAAAATACTCGTATCTAATGTGCATATACTGTGCGTATATTGTAATCAAAACGACAGTTTTTTTTTTTTTATATATATAAAAGGAACAATTCTTTAAATTCGGAAAACTTGGAAATTTTACGCGTTCTCCGATTTTCAGATATCACAGATTTGTTTCGATAAATTGAAAAATTTTTTTCTGTACAAGAGAAAAAATGATTGAAGTTCAAAAAGTTTGAAAATTTTATACATTTTTTAATTCGCAAATATTTTATGAATTTATCTTAATAAATTAAAAAATTATATCCCGGCTAAAAAAGTGCCTGAATCGTTTAATGATGCGTTGTGCGGCGCTTGAAAATTCTATCCACCTCAGCAACGGATCATTTCCCTTCAGACAGTTTGTAAGTCCGATCTCGGTGCAACGCGAATCCCTCTTGTTCGGCAAACCATTCCTCTCGATAATCGGTCCCTCCGTCTAAGGACGCGCTCCGATTCCGCCGACGTGGCAGCTCGCAGTTTCACGTCGGCGTAATCGTCCGTTCCGAGATTTATCGCGGACCAGGAGTGCCGTGCGCGCGGAATGTCTTTGATGCCCCGGACTGTATCAAAGTGGCAGCCAGGCAGTTCGAGGTCTCTTAATGGGCTATGAGTTATGATCTTTCGCGTTGGTGGATATTACTCCTTTCTCTTTCTCGCTCCTCCTTCCCGTGTCCGAGCCGTTTCCATCTATATGCGCCTTGGATTTTCTTTTGCTCGTTCCGGTCCGCCTTTCTCTCTCGCTCCTCCTCTCTTCCTGTCTTCTCACGCTGGGGCTTCCACCGTATTCTCTCTTCCACGTCTCTTTTGCCAAACCTCGTTGGGAGGCGTTTTCAAAGACACACACGGCAAACCCCGGTCGGCCGCTTTTACTGCCTTCCACGTCAAAGCAACACTTAAAGTTCTGACACTTTAGAGAGGACGGTAGCTCACCTCTTTATTGCGCGAGAACATTTTTGCCCGACGCGCGTACACGAGTTCTGCCGGCGGATTTATTTGGCTTCCAACGTCCGCTTCTTCAGTCTCCCGCCTCTTTTTCTTTCCCTTCTGAAATTTTTCTTCGCCGAACACTCGTTCCCGTTCCTGTTTTGCGCGGGATGCCCTCGCTTGTCGTAGACAGGGCATTCCGCCTGGAATTCTCGGCAAAATGCTTTCATAAACTTTTCACGATTAATAAACGCGCGCACGGTAAAAATATTCACGTCGCAGCGCGCGCCGCGTACTCGGTAAATACGTTTTGTGTAATAAATGCTTATAAAATACAGTTCCGCGGATTATCATATCAAGTATAGCGGCGTAATAATTTGCGGCGACAGAAAAAAATCTGAAACAGATTCGCTCTTGTCGGCTTAGTTTATGAGCCGTGGAATTGTCCACGGCATACCGACGGTAACACGCGCATTTCACGGCCGTATCGCAGACAGCAGCGATGCTTTTTAATGCCGTAGATGAGCCCGCGAGAGGTATATGCGAATACAATTATTAGCCGGCTCGTAGTGGCTTCGTCGTCGTTCTCGCGACGGTGCCGGCTCATCTTTAATTCATGTCATCCGGCAACTCGGCTCGATCGATAAATTATAATTTCACCCCGTATCGCGTCGGCGAGCTGACGGTTATCCGTCAGACGCGCGGCCGATCACGTATTTATACGATTTCCTCCGAGCACAACGATGTCGTGTTTCCGCCCGTCCTCACGCAAACAGGACGGATCCGTTGCCGCGACCGTGATAATAAATTTCTTATCAATCCGTGTAGGCATAAATCCCTTACTACGAACGCCTACGAACGTCCGAGAAAACTTCAGCATTGACAAAGCCGCGTTATATGCTTCATTTTGCATTCAGGAATGCTTACACGATTCCAAAGTGTCATATTCTCGTGAAACTTTCCGCGCGAAAAAAAAAACTATAAACGAAGAATATCATGAATCGGAATATGGTGAACCTCTCGAATTTACATGCAGATAAAAATGTATGAATCCATAAAAGCATCGCGCGGAAGTTCACGGAAATGGTTCGCGCGCGCGCGCTGACGACTATTTTCCTTTTCACGAGGGATTCCCCGGAGAGGCTCTCTCTTTCCCCCACGGCGATCGTAGCGCGATAAGAAAGCGGGAAAGGGAAAATAAAAGGTCCGTAATCCCAGAGCAAATATTTATCCTTCCAGACTGAGGCAGGAGAGCCACGGAGGTGCCTGGTGTCCGAAGCAGCAGATCACGACGGAGCCGCGCGAGTGGCTGGAAATCGATCTTCACACGGTGCACATGATCACGGCGACCAACACTCAGGGTCGCTTCGGTAACGGCCAGGGCGTCGAGTATTCGGAGGCGTACCTGCTCGAATACTGGAGACCGAAGCCGGGAAAGTGGGTGCGCTACAAGAGCTTTAACGGCGAGGAGGTGAGTCTTTATAGCTCTACTCCTATCATTTTATGCTGCCTTTATATACGAGTAATGATCGGCGGTGATAGCGCCACGGACGGATATAAGGTCCGTCTAGGACAATTATTGAAAACGATGAAAGTAGTCGCCGAGGTCAGGGGTGTCTTGAAATAGCGCGACATAGAATGGCGTAATCGATGTATTTATAGATACAAGTAGCGGTTTGCAAACGTGCAAAGATTTGTCATGCGTGCAGTGACAAGACCGCGAAATTTTTAATGCATAATACGCTG